AAACTAGCTTAATCACATAAAATTTTGGAGAATTCTAGAATCCAAACAGTTCACACACCTGCCAAGTTCCCATGTTCAGCTGCCCATTTGTAATTGGAATTCTGCCAAAAAATTACAAAAGGAAGAAAGAATTATGATGAATATATAAACAACCAAAATGATAAGAAAAATCAGCTTCAAATAAGGGAGGTAACAGCAAGAAAGAATTATGATGAATATTCAGATGCTTTATAGGCTTCGAACAACTACAATGGGCCAAATAATACTTCCCAAAGAGGAAGAGAAAAGGGTTTCGCATTCAACAAAGAGTAATGAAAGTGTAACTTGCTTCAAGTGTGGGGAAGATGGACATATGGCCTATCAGTGTCAAAGAAGAAACAATCTGCATATGGGAAAAGCACAAGATGATGAAAAACAAAAAGTTGAAGATGCTAAAGAAAATTCCTATGCTTTTGGAGTTTATATGGCTGATGATCCTGAAGATAATAAAGATAATTCTCATTTATCTTTTGTTTAGGATCTGTTCAGCACTTCAAAACTCGAGGTCGAGCTTTTTTCAACAAGGGGAGAATGATGAGGAACAAGAAGATGCTATTCGATAATTATTTAGATTATTTAGAATTCTTAAGTAATTATTTTTATTCAAGTGTAGTCATCATTAGTTTTACTACTTTTATTAGAATTAAGTCTTTTATCAAGAATATTAAGTCCTAGTTAAATTAGAAATTTAAAATTTTAAGTTATAGACTAATTGGAATAAGAGTTTTAGTAGGAGTCATAGTAATTTCTATATAAATATGCATGTAGTTTTTTTCATTATACAGTTAATAATATTCAAAATTTTCTAGCAAGTTTTGCTTTTGATTGTGTGATGCAATTTTAATTGTGTGATGCAACTAGCCTTAGATGTGATGTTGAAGGGTTTTATCCTCTTTAGGGGTGATGCCTATAGAATTTAGGTGTGACTCCTAGGCTTTTCTATCATTCTCATTGTTTATTTTCTATTTCTCCTCTTTTCTATCATAAACAGACCATATTTTACTGTTCATGCATACTATACACAGTACATATTTGCCCAAACAGCCTCTAAATCCCCAAGCCCACCATACCTCCTAAAAGGACTTCCATTAAAAGGACTTTCATCAAAAGCTCCAGTTACACCAAACGGACCCTATATGTTTTGTTGGCAAGCATGTAGTGGGTGCAGGAAGGTGGGAAGAAGCAGTGAAGTTGAGGGCAATAGCTGAGGAGCAAAAAATGATGAAGACATCTGGTTGGAGTCTTATCCAATGTCCTGCGGGTGAAAGTAATCTCCGAAGTTACAGAAGTAGACATTCATACGAAACTACAAAACCGCTATAGATGGGAAAATAAGCCCTACCAATGATATCGTATATACATCCATGCTGGCATAAACATTTGACAAATTTTTGGAACAAAAATGGTAGAGTCTAAACTCTAAAACCCAAACAGGAGAACTCGGAAACAAAAGGACCAGGCAGAAAATGAAGAATGGAATCAATTCCCAAGAGGACTATTATAACGGAATTTGTCAAAAATAAAAAACCCAGGAATCACAATAAACAAATTTGTAACTCCATGACTCAATTTTGATGGTGGAGAAAAAATGATTCAGTTTGATAGTTATAACTATTGCGCACCTATATTGAATTACAAAGATGGTGCAATGAAATTCACACTAGAATTCCACTAAGAGTGGCATCGATGACTAGTGTGAGAAGCTCATTTATGCAAAAGAGTATAAGAGCTCTTTCACCGGGCAAATGATCTTTTCTTGCATGCCAAAATTTCCAATAAAAGCTCAGCCGAGATCTTCTGTAATTACGCAATGCTGATGTCCTGCCAATTTGTTGCAACTAGTCATTGCAAAGAGAAGAATTTTATTCAGTTGCTAGTGCCACAAGACTAGTGAATAGCCACATACAAAAACCAGAAGAAGGGAAGTATGCACACCTGTTAACAATGATGTCAATCATCGAGATAATAATATGATCCTGCAGCCTTTTGCTCCCTGTCCTTGGTTGAGTCCAATTTGTTGATTCTTGGCCGGTAATTACTTGGATCCCGCCTAAATGTGATATCCAAATGCTACATTGCCAGCAATAACATGCAACAGTAAGCATCATATGGTATACATAACTGAAAGCAAGTGCCAATATGCCTAGCAAGTAACACATAAAACAACAAGACATGTAGAAGAACTAGCTTTAAACATTCCAGTTACTAAATATCATTTTCCCAAATTATCTCCCTCATAGACAATAAGAAGTAACATAGAAAACACTTGCATGACTTACAGATAAGAACAGATTCATTCCAGTCAACAATGATTGAGGAGAATTTGCAGCACAATCGACTGAAGGCTCTCCCTCATACACAATAACTCTATCTGCCAGATAAGTTGCCATAATAAAGTCATGCTCAACAACAAATGCTGTTTTCTACGCATGGAGGATAAACCTCTTTATGACTTTAGAAGCAACAATGCGTTGCTCAGAATCAAGATAAGCACTTGGTTCATCTATTAGGTAAATATCAGCTGGCTGCAAGATACAAATCACACAACCATCAGACACACTCAACTAATGCTGGAAATGTAGCTTTATTAATGTCAAATAGTGAAATAACATTGCAGCTAAAAGGACACAAAGATTACTTATGATGCAGGGAAGGTAGGGGTAGAACAAACAGAAACTAAGAACTTCGTAAAATTAAAGATAAAACCAATAAAACTTAGGTTTGCAACCTCAAGTTTATTCTCAAACTAAAATATCATAACAAAACTGGTTTTGAAGTCTAAGAAGAATAACTATTTATGCTAACAATAGCCAAGAATCCTAATTCAATTCTAATTTGAACTTTCTAATAAGTTACTAATTCTAATCCTAATTAAAAAGTAACATGACATCCACATGACTTTCCTAAAATTAAAACTTAAGACTCCAAATAAAATTCAAACTAAAACAAATAATTAAAAAAAAAACACTTTATGTTCCTGCATCAGCTTATGCAATTATAATACGCCTAGAATTAAAGCCAATTCTTATGGAGGCATAAATGCATAGGGTGATCTTGTTTTCTCCATCTACTTATTATTATTTTTCTTTATTCTTTTCCTTCTTACTTTAGACTACTCTTGCGAGAGAACTCTTTGGTTATTTCAACATGCATTTTCCCTTATGGTATTTTAGAAACATAACTTTCCAAGGCAGAGACATAGTGCAACTCTTTGCAACTCTCCTTCAGAGAGATTCACAACTTCCTGATCCATCAGTTGTTCAATAAGAAGAGGCTTCATCACATCTGACACAAACTGAGGATGCATATATGAATCACGTATCCTTGAATGCAGCAAGTGCCTAACTGTAGACTGAAATTTTGGACTGATCTTCTGGGGCTTATATGAAACATTAAACTCAGGTATCTCCTTGTCAGAACCTTCTATATTATCAGGTTTCAGCAAACCAGCCTGCAAATTGATCCCATAAGATAAATCAACTAGTTCTAGATATTAGAGATATAAGGATCCAAAACAGACAAATCTGTAGACAGAAATTATAAAAGTAAGAAATTACCAGCATGCGAATAAATGTTGTCTTCCCTGTCCCATTCTCACCTAGCATTACAATAATCTGAGAATCAGTAAATTCACCCTCAATCACTTTAAGTCTAAAATTGCCTTGAGTTTTAGTCATAGTTGGGTATCTGTATCGTGCATAGGTCTCAATTTCTTCAGCACTTTCTTGTGGGGTCTCGGCAACCTAATAAAAAAACAAAAAGAAAAAAGAATATATAGATGTTAAAGAAAAGGAAAATAAAAGGCACATAGTTGACAAAAATAGAAGGTTTACCTTGAAGGTTAAAGATTCATCCCTGAACCTCAGATTTTCAGTAGGAACAAATCCAGCCAAGAAGATATTGATCCCCTCTCTTACAGAAAATGGAAGAGTTACAACCCCATATGCACCTGGCTTCCCATACAAGCAGCAAATGAAGTCCGATAAGTAATCCAGGACGCTAAGATCATGCTCCACAACAATTACATAGCTGAAACACAAAACATAAAAGGTTAAATCATCCCAGTTAAATCTGAGTAGCAAACTAGAGAAATAAGGATGGTGAATGAATTAACCTATTGGGCCTGAGCAAGGATCTGATAACTTGTGCAGCTTTGAGCCTCTGTTTCACATCAAGATAACTTGAAGGTTCATCAAACATATATATCTCTGCATTCTGTATGGCAACAACTGCAATGGCAAACCTCTGGAGCTCTCCACCAGATAAATCACCTACATTGCGATCTATGACCTGGTTTAGTTCAAGATCAACAGATAGTTCTGCCTTCATCTGTCTTTCATCTTTTTGGTCAAGCACCTGGCCCACGTTGCCTTGAACTGCCTTTGGAATGTGATCAACATATTGGGGCTTAATGATTGCCTGTTTCATACAAAATACAACTTCAAAAGGAAGATAGCAAAGCAATATTGAGCATCTTAGGTGTAGCAGAAACTGAAAAAAGTCAAGGTCTCCAAAGATGCACAGCATACAAGAACGACTTATTAAACAACAACATGATATCATGATCGTTGATACAGACATACAGCTGGATAGAGAAGTACCTTCAAATTATCTTCTAGAATGCGGGTAAAATAATTCTGCAACTCTGAACCTCGAAAATAAGTCAAAATTTCTTGCCAATCTGGAGGATTCTGCAAAAGGGTTATCCAAAAAGGTTAACACCACACATGCATCAAGAAACAATCAAGGAAAAATGTCTCATAGAATTACATTGAAACGACCCAAATTTGGCTTCAATTTTCCAGCTAACACTTTAAGGGCAGTTGACTTCCCAATGCCATTTGTTCCAACCAAGCGAAGAACCTGACCTGGCCTTGGGACTGGTAACCTGAAATTGTAATTCTCCACTACCTCAAATCACTCAAAAGCATCACACAATAGTTTTCCAGGAATAGGACAATGAGCCAACCTATGCAATTTGAAAGTGTTCGGCCCATAACGATGGGTTGTATCCTTATCCAAGTCTCTAGGCAAGTTGATGATCTGAATTGCTTCAAACGGACATTTCTGCATCACCAGATCAATGGTTCAGCAACATCAAATATAAAACTTTGCTATA